AATATGGAAGTCACTTTGTATAATTTGTGCTACTCAATTTTGCATTGTTTTATAGTTTCTCTGGATGTTCGTCTGAACCATGTGAAACTGCCATTTTATGAGTAAAAAAATCATAGACTTTCAGCAGTCTTTCCATTCAGATTGTGTTGATTTTGACACTCATTCCTTTGTTTTTTGGGGGGTGGGGGGAGGTGGGTTCTATTAGAGCACCATATTCTTTTGTGTGGACCAACTTTGTTGAAGGAAGCAACATTATCTGTAGWTAAATAAGACCAGACAGTGTTCAGTGAATTGGGGTACCATAATAATTTGCAAAGTACTTAAAGATCTGCACATGATATTTAGAATAGATCCAACTTAAGAGAACTAGGTAACTGTCATTATTATTTCTACTTTCAATTTTTTAAAGTATAGATTACGTATATATAGCCATCTTTTTATAAAGTCCTTCCAAACTATGTGGACCTTGACACAACATTAATTAATTCATTGTTCTAATTTAATTTTAAAATCTAAAAATTAAAATTTAGCATAGTTTAACATCAATAGAAGACAAAAGCTTTCTGAGCATTTTAAAAGTGAGAGCCCTCAGCCAGGTACTTTGTGGAATTTAAAGAAAGTAGGAGACAAATCTATTTTAAATAAATTTATATTCAAAATATTGATTCTATGGCAATGGATGGTTTATACTACAAATAAAAGGTGATAATATCCATAAGGAAACTGAAAATAGAGAATAGAATGAGCAAGATGGAATAGAAAGACTTTTCTTGTGTTTGAACACTCTGTTTCCTCCACTAATGACATTTTCACATTCACTCATTGAAAAAATATTTTTGAGTGCCAGTATATTTTGGGTATTGTTTTAGGTACTTTGTATTTGCCCATAAAGATGACTGTCCTCATGGAACTAGCATGAGGTAATAAATAGTAAACATAATCAAAAATAAAACTTTATGGTAGGACGAGTGCCACTGAAGAAAGAAAGAAAAATGGAATAGATCATGAGAGGGCATGGCCACCACCTTTATTATAGTGGTCAGGAAAGCTTTGGTTGGAAAGATGATATGAACAACAGCTCCAAGGAGAGAAGAAAGGAAGATCCATCTCCATTGTTCATTCCCAAAGAATTTAAAGACTGATGCACAAATGTACAGTCCAGTGTGTTTAGGGAGTGAAACCAAAGGTCTTCCAGAAGAGTCAGCTAACTGAATCTCGGAATATGGTGGAATCAGTTTCTTCCAGATAGTTCTGGGAGGAAGCTGTAGCCAAGGGCAGAGTCAGAGTGTCTCATCAAAGTGAGAGAGAGAGGTGTGAAGTTAGTTTTCTGTTTACTTGGACATTTTCTCTACTATCTTTGAAGTTCCTTGAGGAGAAAATGCTGTTCCCCTTTGTTTCCTATTCCTGGAATCTGTGCAGTGTCTGAAACACCTGTGGGTGTGCCATTACAAAGGGCTTCATGAATTGACTACAGAGGCTAAGTCCAGGGCTAAAACAGGAGTGGGGAGGAGGCAGCACAGTTTAGGCTCAGAGGCATAAATTATAGCAGCTTAAACTTCGCAGAARTCTTTCAATTGCTTGTCATCTTTTATTCTTAGAATATGACATACTTTAGGACAGTAATTATATTTTACACATAGTACTTACTACATGATGGAAGCAAACGGGGAAAAAAGAAAAATCGACCAATTCATTCTCGTTTACTGAACCTGTTTTTTTTTTCTTAAATATGAAATGACTTCCAGATAGTATTTAATGATTTTTGGAAGCTATGCTATTGTTTAGACTGACCAGGACTATTATGTGTGCTTTATGAGATCCTGATAGAATATAATTCATATTTAAATAAATAAATCTCATGCATCAAATTTTGAATTTGAAGTGGACAGTTGACAATATATTAAAATAAAACATTCACTGTGAAAAATCACCTTATTGTCCAAAGTCACTGAAGAAAGATAGACATTGAACAGAAAGATCATATTTAAAGGGATACCTTTTAGGGGAGGAAGAATCCTAACCAGCTGTGGGATTCACTAACTTCTGAAATCTCTTGTAATCATCACTTATGGCAATCATAAATAATTTTTAACAAATTTATTTWTTTTTTCACTGAAGTACGAAGAGAAAATGATGGTGGTGGTGGCAGTCTCTGTGTTGTTGACCTTTGAAAACACAATATGACCCTACCTATAGATGAGCTAACCTAAAATTGATGAATTATATGAACGGAATATTGAAAGAAAACTTTCCCTTTTTAATTTTCCTTTTTGGTACTGAAGATTGAACCCAGGGCCTCACATAGGGTTGGCATATGCTCTACCTCTAAGCCACCTACCCCGGGACTGTGTGGATTGAACCCAGCACCACATATGAATAAATAAAAAATAAAGACATTGTGTCCACCTACAACTAAAAAAAATAAGCTGCCTACCCCATCCTAAAAGGACTCTGAAAGAAAATAAAAACAGAATAGAACATCAAGGTCAAAATCCTTGTTGCAATTGTTACTGGGTAATTCAAAAAAGATTTTGATAAATATTGCGCCCTCCAGTGGTTGTTTTAGATTAACAACTCTCGCCCCCGCTTGTTTTACCTGGGTTTGATTTTCCAGCTGCATGGTTTTAGATAACCCCAAGAAGGTTCACACTGTCTATATCTAGGAGAAGCCTGGGGAGGCTGGCTCAGTTTGATCGTCCAATTTCATGCTTGCAGAAAGAATGACGCAAGTTATGATGGATGCCCACTGTATGATGATTAAGCTCAGGTCCAACAAGCAAGGTCCACAAAAGGGCAATCATGCTTGATTCATCTGATTGTCAGACTGGAAATGAAAGAAAAGCTGTTGACATAATTACCCCAGATTTTTCAGACCTCAAGTACAATCCAGCACAGATATTAAGCAAAGCTAGTTCTCAGGATGATTGCAATGTGTTTTAAACAGGAAGATTACTGCTTTAGCAAATAAAAGGTTTACAAAATCAAAGACAAAGGATGTTTCTGGAATATGTCTTGCCTGCAGACACATGAGAGAGAAAGGGAAAGAAAGTCCCTTGATGAGAGAAGACAAGAAATGGACTGAATCAGGAAGCAAGGCTGGTCCTTGAGACTCCCTGGGCCTCAGATTTCTCACCTATGAAACAAAGGCTGTGGGCTAAGCTGAGTGGTCTCCAAGAATCTAGCCTATGAACAGAGAGACAAGGAGAGACAGGATTGATCTCATACAAAAGAGCCAAAATGTGAATATTTATGAAAGCAAAATTAGCTAGTGATTAAAAAAGAGAGAACAGTCCCAGCAGGAGAATGCAAATTCATTTTAATCTATTCAAAATAAAACATAAAACTGATAGAGACAGTTCTTTCAAGAAGGAAAGAAYGAAGCATATCGTGTTGTCTCTAAATTTCCTCTACTGTGATCTTATTCCCTCTTCTCTATCATCACCTTATTTTTTTCTTCTTACTTTCTGTTTCCGGTAACCATGGTGATGCTCCCTCTCAGCAACCTCCTTTGCAGCTGGCCCTTTTGGTAGACATCAAATTTTACTCCATTCACTGGGGTAGGGTGCTAACAATGCCATAAAAATTAATGTATTTATTAACATATTTCTCCTTCCCTTTTCTCTGAGAAATAATGCAGGGAATTGTTCTACACTTAACCTCTCTAGATAAGGGGCACTGTAAAACAGGGATATTCAACTGTTAATTTCAGTTGCTGACATGAAGTGGGTACAGATTATGCCAAAGCTTCAATTCCCCCCTTTGGCCCTCAGGGACTGCGAACTCCCAAGCCTCTAGCTGGTTGCCACCTCCCTTTGCTTTTGTATGGGAAAGGAATAAAATGCCTTGCCCACAGAAATCACATACAAACCCTTGGTTTCCTAATCCGTTTTCTTTTTTGCTTTCTCCCCGGTAAGGAAAACATTGCCAACTGCGTAATTATCATAAGGGGACTGAAYTTTCCACAGGAAAATATATATAAGTATATGTGTTTCTTTAATGAACATTTTTATTTTAAAATGTAATAAACAATATTCACTAGATATAAAAAAATATTGTAATAAGTATCCAATGACAAAACACCAAAGAATCTCTGATGTCCTTAACGCAGATAAAAATTCCATTAACTGGTCATGTCCAGTTTTTGTAGCTTAACTTGTTTGTAATCCTATATGCCTGTAAACTGTCTCTGTATTTAAGCAGAGGGTGTGTGTGTGTGTGTGTGTGTGTGTGTGTGTGTGTGTGTGTATGTGTGTGTGGTGTGTGTGTGTCTGGCATTAGCACAAAGGAGACCAGATGATGACATTCATAGGCTTATAGACTCGACTCCTGGGGACACACTTGGATGGAGGCAATTAAAATGCCTGTCAGGCATTTGGTACCAGAAGCCCCTATGGCAAACCTCTAAATCGTAAGCCAGGGCTGCATCCTATTGTCAGTGAATGATGGCGGAGCTGAGTGGCTTGTCATCATTCTCGAAAATTCTGAGGCTAGTGAGCTCTCTCTCCCTCTCCCACTCGCCTTATTTTCCTTTTCGCCACTGCGGGGACTTTTTCTAATTTGCAGCTTCCCTTTCCCCGACACACACAGACACGAGCTGGTGGCTTGCAGACTGCGTCTGTCTGGAGCTAGAGAGCCAGAGAGCCAGCCCGAAGATAATGCTCCCGGGGAAGGATCCTGCAGCAGTTCTCGAAGGCTAGACTTGGGGGGTATTGCTGCATATGTGCTGGTAATGGTTTGGGGTTTTTAAAAAATGTATTTTGCTTTATTTTTAAGACATTTTCCCAGGGATCTGCTTTATGTCATCTTGGAGTAAAATGCTTTAAAATTCATTATTAAGCTTTAAAATTCAAATACTGCATTCTTTGTACTACAGATCTCATGGCATAGACTTATTATTTGGATAAAGAGATTGTATTTGCTTACTGGTGAGTTACAGTTTTTGATATTTAGTTAACAAATCTATACATGTGGTTTTTGGTTTTTTTCTTTTGTTTCGGTAGATTCTTCAGCTTGTTGTCTCTAACGGAGGAAGCATTGATTGAGAACTACTCATTCAGAAAATTAAAAGGTACTACATGTTTTGTTTGGATGTTTTAAATGAGGGAAAATCAGTGGAAAATAGGAATTTTTTTTACTTCAGGCAGTCTCTTTATGGTTGGTCTTTTATCCTCAAGCCTGTGTTGATCATTGTTTAGAGCATGTACGATTTCCTATGCAGATAACACCCTCATCCAAGGCTTTTTGATTTGATGTTTAAAAATTATGGGTTTTTTTTTTTGCCTATGTTTCAAGTTATTAACAAATATTAAAATGTCTGTTTTATTTTGGATTTTATCATTATAATGGTTTTGAAAAAGTAAATTCTCTACCTTAATGAAAATGTGTTCTTTTGAATTTTAGAGAAATACATAGAGTAATGATTTTATCTAAAGATTTCCTGCTGACAAATAATTTTTTAAATGGCTAAATGAAATGGCTTGCCCTTCCCAGGTAGAATGAGCACTAGAGATGAAAGCCCAGGAATGACTCAGTATTGTTGGGTTTTGCAAATAAAAATATTGTAACTTATTCACTGATGCTTTAGTCTKCAGCAACGGATATATTTTAAAACCAAGGTTGTTAGTTCTTTAAAGAACAGATATTACCTTTTTTTTTTTCCTAAATCAACAGCATAAGAGAGTAATTCTTCATCTTGCCGTGAAAGCAGTCAAATCTATTGATCCTGGGCCTTATGCCCTTACATGAAAAATGTTAATTTTCAAATTCAGTATCAGGATGTATATTGATTTGGGAGGACAGTTATGAGTATTACTGTTTCTCTAATTCTTTAACATCATCTTTGGCTTTATAATATGTTCAGAGGAATAAATCCTGTGTTTTTAATTTGCCTTTTAAAAAAAATGGAAGACATTTTCTATCTTTCGGAGAAGAAGATCAATAACATGTTTTCAATCTTCCCTTGATATCCATGTAGTATGTTCCCTTTTAGGATTTTCAATTGAAAAATTCCATGAGTAAGTTTAGCCTTTTAAAAAATACACTTTAAAAATGGTCAGTGTTCACCATTGACCCCAAGGTACCATAAGTATGAGATTATACCTGTGAATCTGAATATTTGTAGAAGCTGAAGGAGACTAATGCATTGTCCTTGGTTAGTTTTCTCTGTAACGTATAATCATGAGAACCTTAATTTATTCATTCCACAAGCATTTCTGAAGAGCTTTGGTTCTGTGGGTAGTCATTGTGGGAGAAGAGGAAGGGACAGATMACACTGTCCATAGCCTTCCAGAGCATAGGAAGAATCACATAAGATTTTTGAAAAGGAGAATGAATTTAATAAAATAAATCAGTGCCTCCTCAAAAAGGAAAATTGCATTATTTCAGATTTTTTAACACATTCTAATAGACTAGTCTTAGAGAATGATGAAATTGCATTGCATTTTTTTTCCTTAGAAATTACTAAGTGGAATCAGGTATCAAATGTCTAAAAAATACTTACTATTCCTTCTGGATATTGTAAAACCCTTGAAACCTTTCTTTGGGGTGGGTGGGAGTTTTATTCAGGGTAAATGAAAGATTTCTATTTGGTATTTTCTCATCTAACTAAATCCATACAGCATATGTGACAGTCTGTTCCCTAACCTTCAGACTTATTCAGCAACTCATTGTATTCATTTTAAACTTTGGGGTATTTGTATGAATTGGAAACAAATTATTTTTTGACAGCTCAAACATGTCCACACTATATGTCTGTCAGTTGTGATTATTGTGGGTATGGGAGAAGTGGCACATGACCTCACCAAGGAGCTCTTGGTACTTACCTTTTCTAGGACCATTTTGAAATTCATCTAGGGTGTGCTGACTATGTGTAATAAAGTCCTGCCTATTAAAATAATCTGTCAGGGAGTCAAATCCAAACAATTTTGACTATAAGACTCTAAGAGAGTCAGGTGTCCATATCATAGTGTTTCTAATCAATATATTTTTTTACCTGAATTAGTTTCTTTCCTGATTTTTTCACTCGTATCCTTAAACACATAGAAAGAAATGTACCTGAGCTTCAGTAGGAATTCAATACATACGTATTTATTTAATTATTTAATGGATAATGAACTTGATAGGAATTTTTTTCCTCTCTCTTTCTCTCTCTCTCTTTTTTCCTTTTCATGAAATGATACTCAATGAAAAATACATGTTTGGTGCTTTAATTTTTTTTTTTTAGTTACCCAAAATGTTGATTGGATGTCCTAGTCAATAATAATTAAATAAATAATTCATACTGGGTGGAAACTCTGTCTAGAAATTTCTTCAGGTTATATGGACAAGGTTTTTCTAGACTTAGGTTAACAAGGAAAGAATTTTTGAAATGTCCCTTTTCACTTTCATCAGCTAGGGGAAGAATGCCAAGCTGCAGCATGAGCTTTGCTTATGGACGCTTCTTCCTAAATACTACTCCCAGCCTTGGCATTGCTTATTGCTCTCCACATCCTCCGCCAAGATCTTGCTGCAGCAGAGGGAAGGGAGGAGGCCTTTCTCTGTCTCGCTCTCTTTTTCTCTATAAATCTAATACAAGAAATGATGTCATACTTACCAGTCCATAATGAGCAAGAAAGCATTTAAGGATGGATAGATAGATAGATGTGTGTGTGTGTGTGTGTGTGTGTGTGTGTGTGTGTGAGAGAGAGAGAGAGAGAGAGAGAGAGAGAGAGAGAGAGAGAGAGAGATGATAGTCAATATTTTTAAAGAATCTGTAAGGAAACATCTAGAATCATAATAGGTTTAGAGAAGGCTCTTCTTTCTTATTGTCATTTGTTTTTATTGACAAAACTATAACTATTTGCCTAGCAATATTCTAAAATCTTAATATATGTTATCCATATAACTCTCCCTATAATTCTGGGAGGTAGGTATGGTCTCCATTTTGCATGAGTGAACTAAAATTCCACTTGGGCAACCAACCCAAGTCTGGCCTCAAAGCCCTCATATAAACTAGTAAGCACTCCATTTTTTTCTGGCATATCTTTTGGCATATAGTGATTTTCTTAATATTTTATTTATGCTCATGATACCTACATTACTACAAAAAGGTTAAAACCGTATTCTTGTAGATTTATATAATAATGTGTGTATATATGCATATGTGAATATCTTCAAATAGTTATAATAGTCAAGTTATTGTATATTTATTTATAAGAATGTATTTAATGTTCAAAATCATACACACACACACACACACACACACACACACATTAGCCAGGTAGAGAGGCTCACACTTGTTATTCCAGACACTCAGGAGACTGAGGCAGGAAAATCACAAGTTTGAGGCCAGCCTCAGCAATTTAGCAAGACTCTGTCTCAAAATAAAATGAAAAATAATTGGAGATATAGCTCAATAGTAGAGMATCTCTGAGTTCCAACCCCTTACAACCAGAAAATTWAAAAATAAAATAAAATATTATTAACCTGAAGAATTTTAATCTTTATAGAGAGATGTCAGAAATAAATTAGGACATTTTAAAACAAATGAATCCATAAAGGATCTTCCAAGTCATATTATCGAATTGTGTAATCTATGTAAGAACATCAGCCAGAGAAATCAAGAGCTAAATAGCATACTTGATGTCATGTCTTGTAAAGATTATTTTTTAATTGATACAATAGTAGAAAAATGTTCAAATGTCCATAATCAATAAACAAGTGGAGAACACTATCATAATAAGGATGAAAGTACCACATTCAAACTTGAGGATCACTAACTAACCCATAAAAATCTCTGAAGGTACTAACAATTACACAAATATGTAATCAGACCTTCTACTTGCAAAGTAGTGGATGCAGCAGAACATTTCCCAAGCTCGGTCGGGAAGCTCCAAGGCTCACTGGCAGATGAGACATGAGTCATTTATTCCGAGCAGGATTACTAATAATGGAGAAGGGACTCCATAGAAAGTGCTTTATGGGGAATGAGTCTTTATGGAGGATGGAAGTGAGGGATGAATAGAAGTATTCAAGGTGGAGATAAAACATGGAGGAGTCCAAGAAGAGCAAAYAATAGCAAAGGAATGAAGGGAAGTGAACAGCTTGGAAAGTGTGGACAGATCTCATTTATATTCTAGACTGCAGGACAAACGAAGGGGACACTGACAAGAGTAGAAGGTCCATGAATACTATTGTGTTGTACCATACCAGGTGGCTAACAGTCACCTTTTTAAAAAAATAATTGTCCTTTTTGAAGAACAAAATAAAAATTTCATTCGGTTCAACTTAATACATGGAAGAGGATTGAAGTGTCAAGATGAGGAGCGGTTTTTTTAGTTTGTTTTTGGTATTCAATGGGAAGCTATTCACCGTGTTTCTGAACAGGGGATGACTATGAGCAAACTGTTTTCAGAGAATTTATCTTACAGCTCTATGCACCATGAATTGGAGTTATAAGAGAAAACATGTTGCAAAACCATCACTTTGGAAATTGTCATAGCATAATCCAGGAAAAATAAATAAAAGTTCCGATAGGGTATTGATTATAGACATGAAAAAAGGTCATGAAAGTGAGAGATGTTTCAGAGATCAGAATCACAAATGGAACATAGCAGCTGCTTGACTGGAAGAAATGAAAAGCAGAAAAAAAGACTCACAGGTGACTCTGAGGCTTGAATTCGATCATAGAGAAATGATTGAAAGAGAGGTAGCAGACAGCTACTGGAAGGACAGGCCCTCTTTTATTTTTTTATTTTTATTTTTATTTATTTTTTTTTTGTAGTTGAGTCTCTAGCTGACTCTGTGGTTCACAATAGACGGCCAGTAAATACTAAATGACTGGGAGTGTGGAAAAAAACTGAAGACATATGTACAGGACAATGTGGCCGGAAATGTGGGTGAGCTGAGCTAATAGATGCAGAACTTGTAGGGACAAGGCTGAGAGGAAGTGAGGTGGGAAGGGTGTAGGTGACATCATCAGGAAAGATGGTGAGAAACTCTGCACAGCACCCACATTACAGATGCAGAATGAAAGACAGATCAACAAAGTTGAAGGGGGAAAAAAAAGCATAGAGAGAAGAACACAGAGAA